GAGGGGTGCCAAGCCCCTGCCAGAGAAGCTTGGTGCTGAGTCACAGCTGCAAGGGGGCTGGAGGCAGTGGCATCAGAGCAGTGGTCAGTGAGGCCGCTGTTGGGGGAGGGAGTGGGAGCAGAAGCTAAGAGTGGACTTAAGTCCTTAAGCTAGGAAGTAGTTCAGGGTTTAACAAGAGGAGAGACAGGCGTCCCGGGGAGGGAGCAGGCTCAGGACAGGCCTCCAGTGCCGCCTTTGAACCTCACTACCCCGACTACAGCAGCGCAGTGGGAAGCGCCTCAGCTCCTGCCCCTTCTGCTTGCCACAGCCTGGACAGGACCCGGAATCAAACCACAGGCCTGGGTCACCACTGCCGGCAAGAAGTAGTTCCTCTCCGTCCATGCACCCACGCACACAACCTGGGCCCTCCCCGAGGTACTGGGGAAGGCCGTGCCCCTTTTCTGAGTGCCTGGAAGTGACTGCGGGAAGGGAGAACAAGTGACCACGCCTTTTCCTCCAGGGTATAAAAGTGGAGGCGCGCGCCAATTCTGGCAGTGTAGCTGCGGAAACTTTTCCAGGCGCATGGGCTACGGGAACCGTTTCCGGACGGTTTCTGATTGAGTTTGGCGCTTTTTACCCAAACTTCAGGGGGACGAAAAGCCTCCACCCACCTCCCTTCTCATAGGACTTTGCGGACAGAGCGCCCCGACCGCCTCGAGCGCTCGAGCAGGGCGCTCTCTAGGAGCCAGGACGGCGTCGGGAACCACACCATGGCTGCTGGCCGCAAGACCCTTACGTTTGTTTTCGTCATCATCGTGATTCCGCTGCTGGTGAGTACCCGCCGCGGTCCCTGGCTGGGGAAGAGCGTACCTGGCGCCGGGAGTGGGCAGAGAGAGAGGGGGACACGGCGGGGACGCTAGGCCCGGGTCGCCTGGGGCAGGGCGTGCCGGGGCAGGACTATCCAGTCATCGGAGTCGGGAAGATTGGGGTCCCCTGGCTGGGCAGGAGCGACCCGGCCGCGAGGGAGCAGAGCGCGCGCTCCCCCTAGCTGTCCCGTGAGGCGAGGACCGCACTGAGCTGTCCCGGAGTAAGTTCCAGAATCAACGGAGGGAGGGAGTCAAGATGGAAACTCCGGAATGAATCTCAGGAAGCCACAGCGCGGTTGCCTCTTTCGTTAGTTAGTTAGTTAGTTAGTTAGTTAGTTAATAACGTTAACCCAGGCCAGGCGCAGTGGCTCACGCCTGGAATCCCAGCACTTTGGGAGACCGAGGCGGGCAGATCACCTGAGGTCAGGAG